TGCTGTATCCCAATAGAGCAGCGGTTCCCAATCTTTTTTTTTTTGTGGCAAATATAAGGACACTTGAACTTTCCACGGCACACCCAGCCATTTACTTACTTTCGATGGGAAACTTGTGCTTGCTTCGCTGCTTCGCTGAACACAATAGTTTGATACGAGGCGTGATAGAGCAACTCTCAGCTCATTTTCCACTGAGAGATGGCGTTCCCTCTGTTTTAAAGTTTTCTTAGTTCTTTTTTGTCAACTCTCAAATCTCAAGGCACACTTAAGCCTTACTGGTGGCACACCAGTGTGCCGCGGCACACCGTTTGGGAAACACTGCGATAGAGGGTGCTGTTGTTGACTGGGTGACCGAGGGTGATTTAAAAAAAGCTCCACCGTTTTCAAAAGGAAGAAAGTACGATTCATAAATTTGAGTAAAGAAATATAAGATTCATAAACTCTTGATATTGGACATATAGGAGGTGTTGAAAAGATTGTCTTCTTTTTTTTCTGAACAATTCTCTGAACCATGTATTGCCCCATTACACAGTTTACAGGTGGAGCTTTACACCTTTCTTTAAATCACCTTTGGTCACCAGGTAAACAACAGCGCCCTCTATCGGGATACAGCACCATCTTGCAGAAATGAAAAAAAGCCTCTTAGGGTGGATTTTTGAACAGAGCATTATCCGATAATGCTGCTTTATTTCAGAGAAAATGCATTATAAATCCGGTAAATAAAGCAGCATTATCGGATAGTTCTCTGTTCAAAAATCGACCCTTAGACTCATGAACTTCTCTGTCAAGTATCAGCTGGATCAATTTGTGCCTTGAAAAGTTCATTGAATTCTGAGACAGTTGAGCACAGGCAATCACCTCACTTGAGGTGGAATGATCCACTTCTAAGCACCTTTAATTCACCTATAAATGGGAATTGCACGGCTTAGGCAGGGGTGCTGAAAAAAAACCTGGGAAGCATTTCAACACCTTGTAACTGTCAAATATCGATTGCGTCTCCGATGCAATTTTTTTGCTGCATTTATGAAACTGTTTCTCCCATAGAAAACAGTAGAGCGTTTTTCTTGAACCACCCTATATATTATTCTGCTCCACAGAAGCTACTGAAATTAAATAATGTTGAAATTAAACATTTCAGCAACTATTGCAAAGAGGAATTACAACAACATAAAAACTGAGCACTCTATTCAATTACAGGGTAATTTTTAAAACAGCTCCTAGTTTATAATCCACATAATTTTTTTTGCAGTAAAATTTCAGTGACCAAATTTGCACAGAATATGAAGAAGGCATGGGAGATTCATGTGGGTTCAAAAACATGGATGAATCAGGGAAAAACATTCTAGGTGACAGTGCTGAAGCAATATGGTGTCCTTCACAGAGGAGCAGAAATTGTTCCTTGTGAAATGGTACTTCAAGCTAAATGAATCGCCTGTAAGTGCGCAAAGACAGTATTGCCTGCACTTTCAAACCAGGAATGCACCATCCAGCATGACTAACACCAGACTTCATAAGGAGTTTGAATTGAGAGGCAGTCAGGGACCATTGAAAGGGCCATTCCGAACATTCACCACAGCAAGCGTACCCCGCAAAATATTGCTCTTGCCCAACAAATGTTAATCCGCCCAGAAATCCCAGAAAGAGTGTCTGACGAGCTTCACAGCAACTTGGTATTTCGTATTCAGCAACATGGATGATTTTCTAAACCAGTATTTCTGCATATCCATTGAAAATCCCTATGCACCAATGGGCGACAGAAATTAACATGGAGAAATGTTTTCTGTTCACACTGAGGCAATCTTCCCTAGTTATTCCCAATTATTCTCTCCATTTGGCATCATATGATTAATGAAAATGGAGGTCACATCAGACATGTCATGCTCTGACCAATGAGCCCACATGAATCTCCCATGTTTTCCACATTTTCTGTGCCCATTTGGCTATTGCAATGTCATTATAATAAAAGTTATGTGAGCAGGAAACTAGGAACTGTTTTAAAAATCACCCTGTATTTTCAACAGTATACATCATAGGGATAGTTTTGAAGGTATGATATTTCACCTGCACTTTAAAATCCATATCTTACCCTTATAGAGTCAATTCAGTACACAAGCTGAGGTATAACACTGATTTACATACACTGTGTCATGAGGAACAGTCTGTACTTCAGAATGACAGAGGGCACAACAGGAAAAGCAATAATAAAAGCAGTATGAGCAAAGAAAAAGAGCCATCAGGAGGAGGGAAAATTAAAAGGGGTCAGGCCTACCTGCTTTATTTTCTATAAGCTTTGATCATGGATCATTGATACATGGATGAACTGGAAAGTAGTGATTTAAAACAAACACCTCCAGAAAGTGAAAATGTGACATTTGAAGGTGGATTAGCCTCTGGGCTACCAGCAATATGAAAAACAACCGGAAAGATTGATTGGAAAAAGTTAGAAACCAACAGTGAAATGTAAGTAAAATTTATCCTATGCTACTTCCATTAATGCCCATAAATGAATGAGAACAGGTCTGCTGACCCTTTGTGATCACCACATGGTCATCATAATTATTTAAGGAGAAAAGGAGGAAAACACTCACCCATTCTCACGATGTTTATTGTAGTTTTCAGCATATGCAACCATGTCAGTGGTTTTTACTATGTCTACCCAACGGCCATATAGAAATCTCAACCGTGTGTTCCTGAAATAGCAACATAACAACATGAATTTCATGACTGAATGAATAAAATTCTTTAGAGACAAAGCCACAACCTGTTTTAACAATGTAGGTATTGACTCAACATTGGTAATAGACTCTATCAGGAAAAGCAGGACTTAGAGAATGACAGAAAACAAGTAGTGAGGAACCAGTATTAAAGTGCAAAATGAAAAAGAGTGCAACTAAATCCAAAGGTTCCAGGTAAAAGGTTATGGTGAAATAACATATTAAATATAAAATTATGAAAAGGAAAGAATAGGCAAAGGATAAATAAAACAAAAGACCCATTTAGGTTTTGAGCTCAAA